TCTGTCTGAGCGAGTTTGCCGACCTATGGCTCAGCCTGCAGCAGAAACAATGCAGGATATCAGAGATCGTTCATGGTTGAGTGTTCGGTTTACACATCTGGAGCAAACGGTGTGAAAGACATAAATGTAGGAGACGAACCACGGTCTTTATTTCCGCCTTCTTCACTCTATCTTTCAATCCCCTGTTTTCTCAGCATATGTAGCAAAAAAAAAAGAGGTCACAAAAACATTTATGAACCACCAAGTTCGCAAGCAAACGAAAAATTAGAGGAACTTTTCCAAACATGTCTTATGTGAACTTCGCCAACATACCTTCAAATCTTATCGTATACCAAATTTGGTATTACAGTACGTGAATGGATGACGAAGGTATGTGACTGGTGCAAAGATGATAATCATGAGATGCGTGTCATGTAGCAACATGACCACATGCTACGCTCATGGTACGTTCGCAGTCGTTTCGCTAGCTTCACATGTACCAAATTTGATGTTACGCGATGCGAACGAACGACATAGGTAATTGACACATCAAAGCATGATAACCACGACATGCGTGTCATGCAATAACATGACTACATGCCACACTGATGGTGCGCTCGCGGCAGTTTCGCTAGCTTCACATACGCCAAATTTCGTATTACGTGACGGCAATGGATGATGCAGGTATGTAGCTAGTGCAAACATGATAATCATGAGATGTATGTCATGTGAGAACATGACTGCGTGCCACAGTCAAGGCGCCAATGCATTTTGACGTGACGCGGTGCGCGTGCTCGTTGGCGTTGCCACGCCAGGCGCCGGTCCAGCCATATACTCACTGGCGCGTGCCTCACTGCATTGCTTTGACGCATTCGCGTATCAGCGCGTCCGGCGTCCCTCCATCACGAAAAGAGGGAGACGCAGTGTTGTTGTTGTTTGGGTAACACATCGGCGCGAAATGCAGCATGTCACATTTCGTGCCGGTTGCCATCATAGAGTTTCTCAAAATTATTTAGAGAGCACTCTGGCGCTGCGATCGTTCAGCGACCATGGGAATGATGGGTAGCACACACATTTGCCTAGTCTTCGTAGTTGTGGGTGGCAAATCGTACTTGAGGCTTCGTTTATTGCTGTGTTTCGGTTTTGTTTCGAAAGAAAGATTCAACCCTTTTGAACTTCATGACCCGATTTGGAAAGGTAAGTTTAAAATAATAAGATGGTGAAGCGCAACCGCAGAACATTTGCTAATATTTGTTTCGTGATAAAACAGCTCCAAGCCACACGAACACACACGGAGCCAAAAGCAGGCCAGAAGTACGAAGTTTAGACAAATGTGTATACTACCCATCAGTCCCATGCTCGCTGAAGCACCGTGCATTGCAGCTCCCATAGACACTAGCGCCAGGGTTCCCTCTAGTGTATATTAAGAAACTCTATGGTTGCCGTGGGGCCGCGCCGACGGACGATGGTCGCGCCTGGGAGTGCTCGCGTTTTGCTAACGTAGCGTCGCTAGCGTGCGCGGGCTCAACGCTACATTGGAGTATATTGGGCCCTTTATGATGTGCTCGCGGCCGATTTGATAGCTCCACATATACCAAGTTTGGTGCTACGTGACGTCAATGGATGACAAAACATATGACTGGTGCAAACACTATAATCCTGTCACGCGTGTCATGTAAGAACATGACAACATACCACGCTCGTATCGTGTTTGCGGCCGTTTCGCTAGCTCCACATATATTTACCTTGGTATCACGTGACGTGAATATATGACGAAGGCAAACAACACATCCAAACATAATAATCATTACACAAAAGTCATGTACGGCATCGGTTACATCCGCCTCGTAACACTGTGCTGATTTTAAAGTGACATATATAAACATTTCTCATTCGTGCTTTGCATATCATCTATTCCCACTGCACGTGGGATCTACCAATCTTTTGGTTCGGCGCATTAACAGGCCAACGAGGTACCGCTCAGTTTTCCGTGGTAATTTCTTGCGTACCTTCCGAAGTGTTTTTTTTTTTAATTTTTATGTGCGTTTCATATATCACAACTAACTCACAGAATGTGTAGATAGCCGCTCCTGTGACTGCCGACTGCTTTCGAACGGCCGGCATGCCCTCGCCTTTGGTGGCTCTGAACGCGACAGGCTAACCAACAAGACGCTGTATTTTACGGCTGCCAAAGCTATATTTTCAGAACTGCTGTCTCACTGCAGTGGTTTTCAAGGATTCGTCAACGTGAGTTTCCAAAGTATTATGCTATTGTGCTCGCGAACGGTTGTCTCACAATTGCCTCTGGGAAGTTTCTTGTGCATATTGCAAGATACGTCACTCGGCTAATAAAACAGCTTTGCTTGCTTAATCTTTTTATTTTTTTCTCTCACATGCAATTAGCGAGAAGCAATTAAAGCGCAGTAAAATTGCGTAATAATAAAGGCACGTAGCAGGTCAGCAATAAAGAAAAAAAATCAATTTCGCGCCATGTAGGACAAATGTGAGACGTCGCCACCGCTTCCGGTTGTGACGTCATATTTTATTTATTTATTTTTTTGCCGTTAGTTGTCTCTCTCACGTAGGTGGCGACGGTGGCAACGAGCCGCCGACTACTCGACACATGTGCTTCTATGGAAGTTACGCTAACCAGTTTACATATTTAAGCGCCATTCATTCGCGACGTGCGTGCGGTGATTGGGGGGTGTTCTGTCTGCTTAGTTCGCGGCGTGCGTTGTCGTGAAAACGGCTACTCCCATGGCTACCTGGAGTCAGACGATAAGCTTAATGAGAGGTCTTTGGCTGCCGTCAACTAGAGGTATGTTGCGCGGACAATAAGAGACCTGAACAACTCGTCTGAATGTAAGGATGTACCGATTGCTTCTTAATGTCTCGCTATGCGCCTTTATTTAGCATTTAAGAATGCAGCAGTAATATTAACCAGGAACTCAACACGGCAGAACGATATGTTTTCAGTTAGGATTAGAGCTGCAGAATTGATTTCGCGTTTCTGAAGATCGGGTTTTCATTGTTCTGGTTACCCGTTCAGAGCTTTCGCCACACCGATTTATTTCAAAAAAGCGTAGCTCTGGTTATTGGTACATGATCCGAACTTCAGAAAATTTAATAATTATAATTAAAGCTTAACTTTTATTTTTCCGTTTGAGTCATGATTAGATGTGCGCATGCAAGCTAATCGTGACAAACAAAAAAGCGACACCATCCCTGTGCTCTTGACATAAATGCTTTGAATTCTCGGAATATCTTTGTTTGCTTTGTACGCACCTGTGCATTTATTTTATTTGAACATTGAAACATTAATCACGCGCGACGCAAGACACCATATGTGCAGTCGGGCTGCACTCCATGTTGGGACATGGCCATGTGTGCTAATGGTCGTCTTGCTAGAAGTGTGAATTTGGCATTTAGAGCAGGGCGCAGGCATGATGCTGGATTCTGTATATCAGATGCTGATGTGTCACCGCCGAGCTTTTTGTCATTTTATATTGAAGTCCCTCGTTGAAATTACTTCTGCGTTTTCGGATGCTAAATCAAAGCGCATAGCGACGCATTAAGAAGCTATTTATACGTCTTTATATTTAAAATTCTTCATGTATTTTTATGTCCGCACAGGATCGTCTGGCTTAAGGCAGCCGTGAGAGTAGCCATCCTTATGACGACGTAACCGTTGGAGGTACTTTTGTATCACATTCAGTCGGCCAGAAGGCCCGTGCAACCTACCTCCGGGCACATGCAAAACACGACAACCCACGCCGCGAACTGAGCAAACAGAACACACCACAATCACCGCACGCCTCGAACGAACGGCGCTTGCGCCACCAAAGCGAAAGAGGGAGGGGGGGGGGGAGGAAAACTAGAAGGGTGAGCACTGCGCCGCAACGGGGAGAGGGAAAAATGGTGGCTACGTCATCTAGGTGAGGCTCCGCCTTGCACACATTCGTTGCAAAAACAGTCGGGTGTTTTTTTGTTTTTTGTTTTTATTCATGAATAAAAGAGACAAGAACAAGCAGCATTGTATTACACCTCTTGATGCACGAAATGTTCTTTATTTAGTGCAGCTAGATTGACGACTAGTGATTAGTTGTAGGTGCTTCATCTGACGTCATCGGGATCATTGTGAGAATGTCCTACTGTGGCACTTCTATTCTTTTGCATTTACCTTGATTTCTTAGTAAGTAGGGCACTGTTGTTGAAAATATCGTCGTTTTTGACGTTGTCATAGAATGAGCTTTCACTTTGACGTAATTTTCTTTAGTCTTTTAGTGACTTTAGTGTCCATTTAACACTGTGTCCTGTGTTCCTTGTCATCTCTGTTCAGTCTTTCGTAACGTCTTGTAAGTGTATCACCAAGCTGACATGAATCAATCAGCCCTTTTTGTCGCATTTTAGGGGCCTTTTTCTCTGCTTCTGGTGCAAGACTGGCATTTCTTTACAAAGTGTTGTTAGTGACGTTTGCCGGCACACCTAACAAGTCCCAATGCACAGCGGCTTATTTTTATTTTGTAGGCAGCTTTCACATAGTCGCCGGGCAATGATGTAGTTTTCGGAAATTTTCATATCAATATACCATTCATAAATTACAGCGTTCCCTAGAAAGCATTTACAATGTCATTTCCGCACCCACAGCTTCGCATTGATTAAAGAAAAAAACTTGGTTTTTGCTTAGCATAAGTAGGCATGCGGTAGCATGTTGTTTGAAAGTTTCCTGTAGCTTAAATTCAACGTTGTGCTGTTATTGTCTACCACTATCTTTTTTCTGGGGTGCGTAGGTAGCTCCAAGTGTAGCACTGCATGCATATGGTTCCATTAAAACTCCTATTGGATCGCATACGAGCGCGTAACCGTGAACACACTATCTAGTGTAATTCAGCTTCTATAAGTACGCGCATCAGTGGTGGATAAGTTATACTGCCATCGATGCAAGGCGGGTTTTAAGTTGAAAAGAAAAATATTACTGTGTACCAACGTATATAGCTTATACATGCGCGTGCTTGTCTCAGATGTGAAGCCCTTGTTCACCAACCTGAAGAAAATGCCCAGGAGCAAGTGCGAGGCGATGGGAGAGACGTTTTTGAAGATCTGTCACCTCGTCGGGTGAGTGTGTACTGTGCGAGTGCATGCAACGCTATGCGCAGTGTACAATTGTCACTCAAGAAGCCGCCCTAAAGGGGTGCTAATATACCGAGTGAATCAGGTGAATTCTCGCTACTACACAAATATTCTGTACACATAGACGGTTCTGGAGGTATTTATATTGATTTAAAGTCAATTTTCTCATTGTGCACCTGCTGACGTCGTCACTGGCTTATTGTCAAGACAGTAATCATTCTGTTGGCTTGACGCACAAGTATGAGAAGTTTCGATGGCGTCAGGGTAACAAGTCTTTCTATATGGAAACGATTTAAAATGACTGCTTCTGCGTTGACCACCTCAGTCGACGAAAGTGAAACGTCCCGGCATGTTGCGCGGGCACGTGACAAGAGATTAACACCGTGTTGTGACGTCAGGGCAGGGCAGGTGCTGAAGCGAGCTTTTCAAAGCTTGCTGTCATTAGTTTTTTAGTGTTTACTTGGACACAGGAGCACATTTTCTAGAGTTTCGAAGGTATCAGCTTTCATTTAAAAAAAAAAAGGCGAACATTTTGCGTCGATACTCGTAAATTATCGATTGATTCTCCGCTAATATTTGTGCAGCGCAAATATATCTACACGAATTTTCATGAAGTCAACTTCCCTTGAACCTGATCAATAATGATATGTGCAGGCGCACGTAAAACAACAAAATATATTTAATCCTACCAAGTCTCCCGCTATAGTAGCCTAGCAACGGTGCTTGACTGCTGACTCGGAAGTCGCGGGATCAAATTCTGGCCACGGTGGCTGCACATCGACTGAGGCGAACGGTTACCGGCCGTGTAGCTAGAATCAGGTGCGCAATAAAGAACGCCACATGGTCAAAACTTTCGGACCCGGTTGCTAGACGTAGAACATCAACAATTGTCATTAGGTATACCCTGTGTTCGGCCAAAACGTCTAATCAAATGTTTAATGTTGTTTAAATGTTATATATATACATATATATATATATATATATATATATATATATTGTGATGACGTTTATTGAACCGGAGAAGTCGCAACGATGTCGCAACGAAAAATGGCCGTACGACAAGTCTGGCAAAAGGCGGCCCAGGTTCTCGTGCAATCAAAGCACGGGGTTTTTCCTTCTCTTTGGAAGGCGCATACACGTTAGTGCGTATGCTCCACTACAATACCCCCCGGGTTGAAGAGTAGCCATCCTGGCGACTCAGGGAGTAGGCACAATGAGGGGGTCGTAGTAGGGCTTGAGACGGTCGACGTGTACGGTCTCGCGTCCTCGACGGCGCAAATCTGGCGATTGTGTTAGGGGCTCGACGATGTAATTCACTGGTGAGGTTGCGTCAATGACACGGTATGGACCATGGTACCGGGCCAGAAGTTTAGAAGACAGGCCAGGAACGTGCGGGGGCACCCAAAGCCACACGAGGGAGCCAGTACGAAACGTAGGCGCTATGTGATGAGCGTCATCATGCCGGGTTTTTTGTAGACCTTGAGCCTCACTTGTCATAGACCGAGCCAACTGACGGCAGTCTTCAGCGTATCTGGTGACTTCCGAAAGCGGGGAGCACTCCGATACATCAGGGCGGTACGGAAGTATGGTGTCGAGTGGGTGGGATGGTTCGCGGCCGTACAACAGAAAGAACGGGGAAAAACCGGTAGTCGCTTGCGTCGCGGTGTTGTAAGCGAAGGTAACAAAAGGCAAGACAGCGTCCCAGTTAGTGTGGTCGGAGGAGGTGTACATCCTCAGCATGTCGCCAAGTGTGCGGTTGAACCGTTCAGTGAGACCATTCGTCTGTGGATGGTATGCGGTAGATTTCCGGTGGATGATGTTGCATTCAGCGAGAATAGCTTGGATGACCTCCGACAGGAACACTCGACCCCTATCACTGAGTAATTCCCGTGGAGCCCCATGGCGGAGAATGAAGCTGCGGAGAATGAAGAGTGCAACTTCGTGGGCGGTCGCTGCTGGTAGAGCTGCAGTCTCAGCGTAGCGTGTCAGATGATCGACGCCGACAATAATCCACCGGTTTCCAGAGCGACTATATGGGAGGGGGCCATAGAGATCGATACCCACGCGGTCGAATGGGCGAGCCGGGCATGGGAGCGGCTGTAACATGCCAGTAAGGTGCCGCGGAGGTGTCTTGTTCTGTTGGCAAGTGGTGCAAGACTGAACGTATTTCTGCACAAAGCGATACATTCCTCGCCAGTAATATCGTTGGCGCAGCCTTTCGTAGGTTTTCAGGACACCTGCATGAGCACTTTGAGGGTCTGCATGGAAATTCATGCAGATGTCAGAGCGCATATGAGTTGGGACAGCAAGGAGCCACTTCCGACCACCAGGCATGTAGTTGCGGCGGTACAGAATGCTGTCTCGCACGGAAAAGTGGGCTGCTTGTCGGCGTAGCGCTCTCGTGGAAGGGACAGCAGACGGATCGGTAAGGTAGTCGAGTAACAATGCAAGGTATGGATCTTTACGCTGCTCCGAAAGCATGTCAGTGGTGTCTATTGGTGACAAGGTGGTAAAAAGTGGTGACAGAGAAGCCACATCTGGGGTCAAAGGCGATCGCGAAAGTGCATCGGCATCTGCATGCTTGCGACCGGAACGATATACTACACGGATGTCGTATTCTTGCAATCGAAGTGCCCAACGTCCCAGGCGTCCGGACGGGTCTTTCAATGTGGACAGCCAACATAGAGCGTGGTGGTCTGTGACCACGTCGAAAGGGCGGCCGTAAAGGTACGGGCGAAACTTCGTCAAGGCCCAGATTATGGCCAAACACTCCTTCTCTGTCACGGAGTAATTCAATTCAGCCTTCTTGAGAGCGCGACTTGCATAGGCGACTATGTATTCGGCTTGGGTGCCTTTCCGTTGTGCCAAAACTGCACCAAGACCGATGCCACTTGCATCGGTGTGAATTTCTGTGGCAGCAGCGGGGTCGTAGTGACGAAGAATGGGTGGTGAGGTCAGCAGGCGGCGCAGCTGGCGAAATGCGTCGTCACATGCAGGCGACCATGCAGATATACCTTTGCTGTTGGAGAGCAGACTTGTTAGAGGTGCGATGATGGACGCGAAGTTGGGCACAAAGCGACGAAAGTACGAGCAGAGACCGACGAAACTTCTTAGAGCTTTCAGTGATGTGGGCAACGGGAAGTCAGCGACAGCCCGAAGCTTATCGGGATCCGGAAGAACACCGTCTCTTGTGATGACATGTCCCAAGATGGTTAGTTTTCGTGCTGCGAAGTGGCACTTTTTGGAGTTAAGTTGTAGGCCCGCAGAAGTTAGACACGTCAGAATCTCGTGGAGGCGAACAAGATGTGTCGGGAAATCAGACGAAAAGACTACGATGTCGTCCAGGTAACACAAGCAAGTTTTCCACTTATGGGCACGCAAGATGGTATCGATCATGCGCTCAAATGTGGCAGGTGCGTTGCAGAGCCCAAATGGCATCACTTTGAACTCATATAGACCATCTTGCGTTACAAAGGCTGTTTTAGGGCGATCACATTCAGCCATTGGCACCTGCCAATACCCAGAACGCAGATCCAAGGATGTAAAGTACTCGGCGCCTTGTAAACAGTCAAGAGCATCGTCTATTCGTGGTAGCGGGTAGACATCTTTCTTCGTAATCTTGTTTAAGCGGCGATAGTCCACGCAAAATCGAACGGTGCCATCTTTTTTCTTGACCAGAACGACAGGTGATGACCAAGCGCTTTGAGAAGGCTGTATCACTCCACGTTTAAGCATGTCGTCTACTTGCTCCGTAATGACGCGGCGCTCTTCGGCGGAAACGCGGTAAGGACGCTGTCGCAGAGGCAAATGTGAGCCGGTGTCAATAGTATGAGTGATAGTCATGGTGCGGCCCAAAGCAGGTTCTTGAAAGTCGAAAGAAGAGCGAAACTTGTTAAGGAGAGCAACAAGTTGGCGGCGATGCGAGAGGGGAAGGTCTGCGTCAATAGCATTGTCGAAGGCTGACAAACTTGATGGCTCAGACGCATGAGTTATTGCGGCAATGTGACATGGCGTTTCGTCGGGAAGAATAATATCATCGATATGGTCGACAGGTTGCACATATCCCAACGTTTCACCACGAAGTAAGCTGATGGGATAGTTGCAGTGGTTGGTAACCAGCATTACGGTTAAACCAGATGCAATTGTAAGAACGGCAAATGGGAGAACGATGCCCTTGCGTTCAGTAAAAACAGGAGATGGCGTAAACACCACCGTGGCGTCAGGTTGCGCCACACATGAAAGGCTTACAGGGACCGAAGCTTCCGGGGGCAAGGTGATGTCGTCGTCAGCGATGAGTTTGCAGAGCCGAGGAGACCGGTCGGGTGGTGGAAATTCATATGTTGGCACAAGGGACACTTCGGCACGGGAACAATCGATGATAGCTTCATGACCTGATAAGAAATCCCAACCGAGGATAAGGTCATGAGAGCAAGATGGCAGAACAAAAAACTGTACGACGTACAAAACATCTTGGATGACGACGCGCGCCGTACACAGAGCCGAGGGATGAATGCGTTGCGCGCTAGCCGTGGACAGCACCATGCCACAGAGAGATGTGGTCACTTTCTTCAGTTTCCGACAAAATTTGACGTCCATCACAGAAACGGTGGCCCCGGTATCAATTAACGCTAATGTGGCGACTCCCTCAACATCGACATCAACAACATTTTTCGGCGAAAACGGAGGCCTTGGGAATTGCGCACAAGTTGCAGTTCTTGCCTCCGGAACTGCACTGATTAGTTTCCCTCCTCAGGAGGTGGTCGACGACGCATAGGCGATGGCGACCGGCGACGAGGGGATGGGAAACGAGCAGTCGATGGGCGGCGATCCGAGTCTGAGTGCCTCTGTTCATATGCAGATGCGGTGGCCTGCTGCGGCGCGTAGGTAGGAGTTCCGAAGTATGCGTTTGCAGGTGTGGGGCGACGGCGGCAGAAGCGTGCAATGTGGCCAGCCATGCCACAGGCGAAGCAGATAGGACGATTGTCTTGAGTGCGCCACTCATTAGATCGATGGAAAAAGCGAGGTGAGGGCCTGTAAACTGGAGGCGAGGCCGGAGGAGGTGGAGCTGATAAGGCGACTGGATGCGGTGGGGGCCGCGCGACCACAGCTGCGTAGCTGAGAGGTGAAGGTGGTGCTGGTGGTGCGTAGCCGACAGCTGAGAGATTAGGCGGTACTGAAGTGCACGGGTAAGGGGCCTGCACTGTAGGGAGGACATCACAAATTTCCGTGCGTATGGCCTGCTGCAGTGTCGTAGGCAGGCTTGCGGTGGGCGCGTCGCTATGCGGCAGCAGGGAGAGCTGTCGGGCGACTTCCTCCCTGATGAAGTCTTTGATCTGGTTGGACAGACTTTCTTTGCAAACGTTGGCATTTGTGAGTGTGACGGCCGAGATCGAATCCGGCGGTAGGACACTCTGTCGGGCGATGGAACGCTGACGGCGCAATTCATCAAAGCTCTGGCAGAGGCTTACGAGGATTGCCACCGTGTTCGGGCTTTTCGCTAGCAACATCTGGAATGCGCCATCCTCGATGCCCTTGAGAATCTGCCGAATTTTTTCTTCTTCGGGCATAGATGGATTCACACGCTTGCAGAGGTCGAGCACGTCCTCTATGTAACTAGTAAACGTCTCGCCAGGCTGCTGGGCTCGGTGGCGCAGGCGCTGGTCAGCGCGGAGCTTGCGGACCTCTGGTCGGCCGAACGCTTCAGTGACGAGTGTCTTAAAGGAAGACCAGTTGGCGATGGCGGTTTCGCGGTTCGTAAACCAAAGTTTAGCTACGTCTGCCAAGTAAAATATAACGTAGGCGAGCTTAGAGTCGTTGTCCCACTTGTTACTGGCGCTTACGCGTTCGTACAAGGAGAGCCAGTCCTCGACGTCTTGCTCGCCACTGCCGCTGAAGATTGGTGGGTCCCGTTGGCGAGTAGTGCCGGGGCAGGTAGACGGGACAGCCGGTGGTGCTGGCTGGGCTGGGATGGGCTGGTTGGCGACTGCGTCAGTCATGTTTTGCAGTGGTCTCTCGGGCAACTTGCGAGAGCGGAGCTCCAGGTCTGTTTGGGGATCTCAGCAGCCTCCACCAAATGTGATGACGTTTATTGAACCGGAGAAGTCGCAACGATGTCGCAACGAAAAATGGCCGTACGACAAGTCTGGCAAAAGGCGGCCCAGGTTCTCGTGCAATCAAAGCACGGGGTTTTTCCTTCTCTTTGGAAGGCGCATACACGTTAGTGCGTATGCTCCACTACAATATATATATATATATATATATATATATATATATATATATATATATATATATATATATATATATATATATATATATTCATGGGCTTTTTTTGTTAAACACACTTAAATGACTATTAAGCATGCACAAAGCTGCGAGAATGTCACGAAACAAACAGCTACCAACCCTAACACCTAAAATGAGCCGGCAGCAGCATTTGGATAGAGGCAAACCGCAGAAAGGTCTTCTCTACTTTTTTTTTGTTCACATTAAAGGTCGCTTCTAAGCCGTAATAATAGACAACCTCGTCGTAGAGCGGGTCTCAAATTCGTGTTCTTGTTTTGGTTTGCAAGCACAGTCTTCTATGGGGACAAATCTCATATTCGTAGTACAATAGCCTGCTATCCGCATGAACCGTGTGGGCGGGAACGCAGTGATGAGCCGTGGCTGTACTGCCCCAAGACGAACGTGGCCGGCCTGGAAGCGCTGACCAGGAGACTGGCCAAGAGGTTCGAGAGCCGTTTCGCCGCCGCCGTAGACGAGGCTGAGCAGGAGGCATGGTGCGACCTGTGCTTCTGGCTGGACGAGATGCCATACTGCGCCAGCGCTACAGAGCTCGCTCTCCAGATGGCCATGTAGACGGGGCCAGTTTGTTTAGGCTTACACGTAGTCTGGCCATGCAAGGGAAGCGCAAGGCCCAGTCAGCGCTGAAGCAGTTGTTTGAAAATAAAGAGCAGAAGCCGTGCTTATCGCTTTCATCGGAAAAAAATTATACGCAGCAGATGGCCCACCCTAGAGGTAACTAAGTACAAACGCACCGTGCCTCCTATACGCAGTACTGATGACATTCTTCGGGTGTCACTGTAAGCACGATTGACATGTGTAATCGTGCATGACGATGGAGCTGTAGAGAATTTTGTTTAATAGTTATAACACCCTGTCAATCTAGAATTTGAAATGAAAAAGAGCATTTCGAGCTAAGTACATGAATTATCGAATGGTAAATATTGCAATGTCGGGATTGCAGGATTGCACTTGTATTGAGGCTTTCATGATCAAACCCAGAAGTATTTCTGTTGCATGTTGTTCAAGCACGAAATGCTTTGAGTTCCACTTTTCTGCAACCTTCTGCTAACGAGGAGCCAAATCACAAGCACGTAATGCGGGCATTCACGTATATGTGGTCTCATGCTCCCCAACTCTTCGTGCAGGACCTCATTGCATGTGCCAGTTACTGCTTATATAACTTACAAAAATTGATGCAGCTTAATTAGTCCGTCTTGGAGCTTCTTCGTAGTTGCACCGAAGTACCAACTTCGATCGGACTGCTTTGCCGGTAATTATTTCATGCTTACGTTTTTATGCTTAGAGAAGGCAAACCTTTTTTTTTTTTCAAATTCTCTTTCATACACTTTTCCGGCTAATGCCAGGTTGCTGCTTGCATTAAAACCGACTCATCTAAAAGAAAATAACACCAACAAAAATGTCTCAAAGACCAATGCTTAAAATTGTAATCTAGTGAGTTCCCTCTAACATCCACACTTTAGACACAGCCCTTTACCATTTACCTTTTGCTAGTTCCTACCATTTACCTTTTGCATTTACTAGTTCGGGATATTTTGAATAATAGTCCGGGCGTGGGTTCGAATCCCACTTCTGACACCATGTTGAAGTCGTCAGGGACGAGCGAGTAGGAAGCAGGCTGGGTTACGTGAACACTGGTTTATTTCTTAACCGCATTCTAGCCTAGGAGCCCTGCCACGCGCCACGCGCACCTCAAGCACACGCGGTCACCAGCTTCGCCTGGCTTGTCCTAGATGGCAGCATCTACAACAGGCAGAGCGTTGTAGATGGCAGCATCTAACACAGGAGCTTGAGTTCGGACTGGCACGGTGAATGGATGTGTTTTTAGTGCTCCCGATCGACTGCGCAGATAGGTGGCTTTGCATGTTTGGAGCTTGCTTTTATAAATAATAAGGCAGTAGTCTAAATCTTTGTAGCACTTATACATTGTATGGTTTTTTAGGGGCTCAGTCACCAGTTATTTGCTTGTTTGTGTGTGTGTGCGCGCTGCTTGTTTGTGTTTTTTTCTCTTACCACCCGTCGGGGAGGGGAACGCACACCTAACACGCCAATTTTCGTAGTAGAGCTTAAACTTTCTGTTTTTCTTAGGGCAGGATGCGCCGTACACAGTGTTTTGTTATTATCTAGTGGGACAATTCATAAGGAAAATTGGTGTCAAAAAGACATGGTTGAAAAGGGTGTAAAATGTGCCGGGTGCGAGGTGGGTTTCAAATTAACGCAAGTGCAGACGCGAATGGAGAAAAAGCTGACGCCAAATGCAGGCAATGTGAGGTCGAGGAAAAAATTGAGAAAAATGGTTGCCCACAGTGAGCTGCTGATGAGAATAACCGAGCTGGAGACTGCGTTGGCTACAGAGCAAGAAAAAATGAGGGCTATCGGAGAAAGGCTCGGGTCTACCGAGGAGGCACTAGCGAAGGTGAACAAAGGAACGGCCGAAGAAGAGAACGGTAGGGCACCAGCAGCCAGAACGGCGGAGAAAAAAGAGCAATTTCAGAACAAACAGGTTCAGCCGGTTCAATGGACCCAGCTTCAGCGAAGTAGTGGTGGGGTTGGGAGGGGACAAAGCAGCCGGCGTCACAGATGCAAGTAAACCCCAGGTGCATGACGCTCCAGCTGAAAAGTCACAGCACGTGATAATCGCCGGGGACTCGAATTTAAATCGATGCACGGAAGCCATCAAAGAGAGGGTAACAGGTTACAAGAGGGTTGCAGTAGGGACGTTCCCAGGACGCAAGCTTGAAGCAGTCATGAGGCAAGCGAGCGCAAAACTCAAAACTACAGCTGATAGACGAAACCTCGTGATAATTTCAGGTGGTTTAAACGATGTCTTAAATGAAGATACAGCAGGACTAGCAACCACACTGGCGAAATGCGTCGATGACATGCGCGCCACTTCTCCTAAAGGTACAGGCAGTGATATGCACGATACCGGAGGTACCGGTGCGTGATAGCAACCTGCAAAGAGTGGTTGTCAACGCAAACCAAGAGATATGGCGGATGAGTCGAGAGAAAGGCTTTGAGGTGGTGAAAATAAACAGAGAGGTGCATAGGTGGGGTGGTTTTCAACGAGACAGAATTCACTTCGATGGGCGGCTAGGTCATGAGGTGGGTTGGCGACTTGCAGGACTTTTTGGGGGGGCAAGCGAGCCCTTCGGGGTGTAAGATAGCTAGTAACGAGGAAAACAACCAGGGAGACTCTTCGACAGGTGGTATGGACAGATACGATTCCAAAGTGGCACCAATATCTAAGATAGGTAGAGTCCGGGGCATAAATAGACGTAGCCACGAGGGGCCGAACCAATCCAGACGTATCGTATATAACATTCATGGTGGCAGAAATAGGCTGAAGTGGAAAGATATAGAAGAACACCCAAGGGAGAAGAGGCCAATGGTATATGGTTTTGTAGGAAAACATCTTAGGAACATGGAACAACCACCTAACAATCCGGATTACGCATGGGAATATTGTAATAGAACAGAAGGTAGCAGACAAGGGGGTGGTATCGGGGCATTCATTCATAAAAGTACAGACTGACAAAGGGTCAAGCAGGAGTGCAAAAACATTTATGGCTAAAAGAGAAAGTGGCAGGGTAAATGACGCTTCTGTGTTTTGTATACTTGTGGACAGGGACAAAAGCCAGAGAGGAAAACCAACAAATGGTGCAGTGCATAGAAAATGACATTGACGAACTAGGAGAAGAGTGCGAGGTAATTATATTAGGAGATATGAATGCGCACATAGAAGATATGGATGGGTATACTGACCCAACAGGCAGACTGCCCATGGATATGCGTGAAAGGCATTATTTAATCATTCGCAACAGCACGGAGAAATGCGAAGGGCAGATAACATTGGAGGTGGGAAGGCCGCAGTCGACGATAGATTACGCAATATTGTCACATAGGATGTATGATTGGCTAAGAGTGGTGAACATAGATGAATATGGGTCCAGATGCTTACGTAGTTATCACAAACGTATCAAGATGAATTTGGGAAGAGAAAAAAAATTGGAAAGGTGGCATTACAAACAACCACACGGTAATCTTTATTCAGAAAGGTAAATTGAAATAGCAAATAAAGAGATTGAGCAAATAATCACCGAGAATACTAAAACAGAGTGGACGTTTACAAATCTAACTCGATTGTTTGAGTTATAGCTTGCTAAGGTACGAGTCAAATTAGCCGGGAAAAGGAGACACAAATCCAAAAGCTGGTGGAATGAGGAAGTTAAGGGAGCCAAAGTAAGACGTCAGGAAGCCTCCGGGGAACACAGGTATGTTAAACAAAGGGGTGAACCTGAAGATGATGTCAAGAGAAAATTGGATCCACAGTTAAGGGGTCAGACTAGAAGGAGATGAGAAAATGGAATTTATAAAAACAATGTTGACAGAAAACATTAAACACCAAGACAACGGTGCATGCACCGTACCAGATGAGGATGGGCGAATTGGATCATTGACTCCATTAGGACAATGAGAGTGGAAAAGGGCAGAAAAAAAGTGCTCTAGTAGCACATCAACAGGCCCCGAAGGCATCGCAATCATGATGATAAGGAAACTAGGACCAAACTCTAAGCAAACACCAGGAGAGGCAGCAAGCAAAGTAATAATGAATGGTTGAAGCTCCCAAGGGGTGGAAACTAAGCAGGATGAGCATGATCTATAAAGGAAAGGGGGACAAAGCCGATATAAACAACTACCGTCTTTTAACAGTGACATCAGTAGTTTACAGGCTGGTGATGCAGATAGTAAAGGGAAGACTACAGACATGGGGGGAGAATGAGGGAGTGCTAGGAGAACTACAAAATGGGTTCCGTAAACTAAGGCTGTTGGAGGACAATCTGGTTTCATTGATGCAGTATATTGAAATAGCGGAAAAAGAACACAGGCCCCTGTGGCTGGCATTTCTAGATATCAAGGAAGCTTACAATAGTGTGATTCAAGATGACTTGTGGGGAATACTGGACACACTGGGTGTGGAAAATGGAATAACTAATCTTCTAAAGGATGTCTATAAATGTAACAAGGTACTTATAAAAAGGGGAAGAACAGGTATCCGAACCTATAGAGATACAACGCGGGCTTCGATAGAGATCTCTTGTCACCTTTGTTATTTATGCTGTATCTCCAGGGACTAGAAGCCAAATTATATGGGAGTGGACTCGGCTTCAGCCTCTCTTTTGCCAAGCAAGGAAAACAGATTGATGTATGCAGATGATATAGTATTAATAGCCGACAAGAAGGAAGATATGCAGGGATCGATAGACATCTGTGGTAATGAGGGAGATAGGTTAAACTTGAATTTCAGCAGAGAAAATCGGCAATCGTGATTTTAATAGATAACAAAGGCAATGAGCATAAGATACTGGAAGCCCCGCTAGAAATGGTGGATAATTACAAATATTTCGGCTTATGGATAAATAACGGAGCCCAGTACCTAAAGCAGTTCGAAAGATACGTAATGAAAAAGGATAACAGGAATGCAGGTGTTGCGAGAAATGGTGCACTGTGGAAGTACAATAGGTATGACGTGAGAGGGATTTGGAAAGGTGTCA